AGACCCCAAAGCCTGTACCATTCTGCTTAGAGGGGCCAGCAAGGAGATCTTAGCGGTGAGAAAAGACAGGAACAGGGAACCAAACAGATGAAGAGACTGGGGCCACTGTTAAAAATTCATGACTATGCAATGCTCAGAGGAAGATTAATGAGAATGTTTTTTAATCATTATAAAGAGTCTCACAAAGGTCTCTACAGTGAGATAATTCAACAGGCCGTTTGTTGAATATTTGATCAGCTCAGCCAGAGTTCTCTGGTATCAGGGGATTTTGCACAGGTTAATTGACTTGTCACTGTTTGACCGATGATCTTTCTCAGGAAGTGGAGCGAAACCTGCAGGATGCCATGCAGGTCTGTCGTAACGTCCTGTTGGACCCGCATCTGTTGCCAGGCGGTGGAGCAGTGGAGATGGAGGTGTCCCATCGGCTGACGGAGCGTTCGCGAGCGCTGACTGGTGTAGAGCAGTGGCCGTACCGTGCTGTGGCTCAGGCCCTGGAGGTCATCCCACGTACACTCATCCAGAACTGTGGAGCCTCGGCAATACGTGTGCTCACGTCCATTAGGGTAAGTTGATTCAATAGCACAGTTCTTGTATTTTTATCTCGGTATGTTGCTGCTTCTCTTGAGTAACAGCATTTCAGTTGACATTAATGTATGGCTGCACAATTAATCGAATTTCTAATCGTGATTTCAATTACGAGTGCCACAATTACTTAATCATTCAAAGCAGCAATTAATCGTTTAAAGTCCACTTATGTTATTCCGCATGCTTAAGATCTTTCTACAGGTTATCTTAAGGGTTTTTCCATTGTTTTAATTTTAGTTTTAGTTAGGGCTGCACGATTAATCGCATGCGATATTTAACGCGCATCTTGTCAGAAAGCCGGTTCTGTAATCAGCGGTAAATCTCCATCACCTGCGGGCTTTCACATGGAGCAGCATTAACTACACAGAGCCGTTGTTCACTGAGGAGCTGCGCAAAAAATTGCGCGAATATGAACGTGGTTTGGCGCAGCTCGTTTTTTTAAAGATCATTATTTTGTGTATTTGGTGTAACAGAATATGTTGACATGCTTATGATTATGATTATTTTTCAAATACTGTACATTATTGTAGGTCCTCTATGCCCCACCTCTCTCAAACGCTTCATTTTCTACAAAGTCCCTCCTTCCGACAAGCGCAGTCTACTCTGATTGGCCAGCTGACCCAGTGCGTTGTGATTGGCCGAACAGGCTTCAAACAATAGTATAAACATCATTTGTCAATTGTGATAATCGTAATTAATAATCGCAATTACAATCTCAAGGAAATAATCGACAATTATGATTTTTTTTGTCATAATCGTGCAGCCCTACTTTAATGTTTCTCATCTCTTCTCCAGGCCAAGCACACACAGGAGGGCAACACCTCATGGGGTATCAATGGTGAGACAGGAACTCTTGCTGAAATGGAGCAGCTGGGGATCTTGGAACCGCTGGCAGTTAAAGCCCAGACATACAAAACTGCAGTTGAGGTAAAAAGGATTATTCACTGAGGAAAAACTGGTTTAGACTCCAGGAGGAAGATTTTTCTTATGACTGTTAATGGATTTTCTCATTTTCTTCTTAGACGGCCATCCTGTTACTGCGCATTGATGACATTGTTTCTGGTCACAAGAAGAAGGGAGATGATCAGGCGGGTGGTGCACCGATGGAGGACAAGGAGTAGAGGAACAGGAAATACAGAGGATGAAGGAACAAGAGTTCGGAAAGGACAGTAATACAGCAAATGAATAGCAAAGTTACAGAAGCATTTATTTGTGCAAAACTTCATTCTCCAACACAATGTTCTCATCAGAAAGCCATTTGCACTGTTGCTTTGTGTTGTGTCCTTAGGCCAGAAGCTTCTAGGCCCCACTTTTTTTTTCTCTGGCAAATGAAACAACTCTGGATTGGATTAGGATGTTTGTGCTATTATCTCTGTGCTTCACTTTGTATTTCCTACCAGTGATAAATTTCAATATCGGACCATGTTGTTGTTTTATTCTATTCTGTGCTGAACCCCCTTGAATTGAATATAAATTAAGGTACTTTTTTCAAAACACCTTGGTAGTTTACTATGTTTATGTAATTAAATGTTTTCACGGAAGCTGTAACCTTTGCAAACTCCCTCCAAAAAGGCACACAAAACACTTCACATTTTAAAATATATTTGTTAAAAAATCAATTTTCCCGAATGCAACACTTTTCAATTAGGTTCAGTTTCTTAACATTTCTGCATTAATGTAGGTTCATACCTAATGCTGTTCATTGTTCATTTTTATTTATAAATTTTCATAATATATTAATACAAATGTTAAAGTATTTAGTATATGTAGAAATTAGCATTACACTAACCAAGATTTACAGCAAAGTTTGGTCAGAGACCCTTATTGTAAAGTTACCAGCTGTTTCTGTATTCAAAAAAATTCAGATATTTTGTCAAATGTAATGAGGCACCTGGCATGAACAGAAACACATGCCACTTTAACAATATATAAAGAGGTTTCCTGCTGTCAAATGCAGCATTTTTATGAACTATATGCAAATATATTTTAAAAAAATAACGCACGCAAAAACAAAACAGTAGAATAAATTTGATTTATAAAGCATCACCCTTAGAATATTGTACTCTTGTATTTTTCATTTCTTTGTCATGCACAGATAACAGACAATACTTGAGTCCAGTGGAAGTGTGCAGATTTTCTAAACTACAAACAATCTAGAAGGGAAGACCACCCATAAATTACATGCAGATGAACTGATCACCAAGTCTGTATAGGTTTATTGTCATTTAACAGTATTTCGGATGCTAAGACGATTCAGTATTTGGATTTCGGCACCACCAAAGTTGCATGTGCAGTTTTGGCTATGCTGAATGGCACACAGACTTAATCTATCGTCATAAGTACTGAATCTGTCAACAGTCCTTGCCTAGAGACAAAATACATTCAAATGTACCCAGATTATCAGTCATGGGTTGCAATATCCAGCATTCAGTATGCCACGTTTGTGTTCATGAGAGAGGCGAGGCTGTCACCCCTGGGCTCGTTCTCCTGTCTCTGGGTCCACTCCACTGTCCAGATCTGACAAAAATAGAACATTACATCAAAAATAACTTTTTTTTAAAAATTTTATCAGGCATATAAAAGAATCAGTTGACACAACCAAGGTCTGCTTCTCTTACCCATGATTGTATCAGTGGAGGACAGGCGGCACTGCTGGTTAATAAGGGTTAAGTTGGACGGCCCTGGAACATCTGATATTGCATAACCTGAACCAGCTGGTGGATCCATATCTGTGTCCATGGCAGGGGAAACAATGGGTTTAATAATAACAATACCATGCATAGCAATAACTCACAATGTGCTGTATAGTCACTCTTGAAAGATCCCCTAAAAAACATTTGGGACCTGCTAATTAAAAATAATTAAAAAAAAATGGTTCAGAACTGTGATTTTTGGAAAAAAGCCACTCTCCATTTATAAATATAATTATAAACTGGTGAGAAGTAAAAAAGGTAAAAAAATCGTGTGTGTAAATATATATATATATATATATATATATATATATATATATATATTACCACACACGCTCCCTGGATGGATTATCTCGGCAAAGGAGAAGTGCTCACTAACACAGATTTAGACAGATTTGAGAACAATATTTGAGAGAAATAGGCCTTTTGTGTACATAGAAAAAGTCTTAGATCTTTGAGTTCAGCTCATGAAAAATGGAGGCAAAAACAAGTGTTGCATTTATAATTTTGTTCAGTGTATATATATTGACATGTAGAAATAGTATGCTCTCATTTGTATTTGTATTTTTGTTTTCTATTTGGGACAGGCAATCCAGATGTCTAATGTGTCATGTCACTAGATGTCATGTGACCTAATCAGTGACTGAATGAATGCACGTGTTTTTCTGTTTTAATAAAAAGGTGCCAGTCAGAGCGACTGAGCGGTTGGTAAAGACGTATCTTCTCGTCTGTTATTTAGCGTACTCTGTTAACAACATACGATTTTTTTAAATCAATGTTTTATATTTAATTTTTTTAAATATAAACAAAAAAAGTTTAAAATAAATATTACAAAGGGCACCTTTTAAAATGGTTGTGGAGGTAAATCTAGTAAACTGCAAATTGTTGCAACTCAGTTAAAGTTAGATTGACGCTGACCTGAGAACTCTTCTTGCAGGTGGGAATCAGACTGAGGGAAGGTCTCGACGCTGACGGCTCGGTTAATCCCGCAGTTTGACCCAGAGGCTCCTGACTGAGGCGGGCTTTCTAATGTTCTCCATTGGCCTCCAGTGGGCACGAGTGTGCTCCTCGAGTCTGTGGTTGATAAAACAAGTGGCATTTCATAACGTGATTTGCAGCTTCCGACAGGCAGCTGGCACAACCAACATTTAAAATTACTCCTAAGCAATGGAGTAAAACACAATAAAACATTAACACTTGAGGGCAAATGCAGACTTGGATCACGATAAATGCCTGGCATACAGCCGTGACTTCATCACTTCACGGACACACTACATAATGTAAAATTGATCGCTTATTGGTTTTAAATTTTGTGGGGTTTAATTGCTTGCTTGAATTAAATAATTTGGTAATAAATCAAGTTATGTCATCGGTCTTCTTACCATTGCATACGTTCCTCCTCAGCTTTCGAAAGGGGCAGTTCTCCCTCAACCGAAACGGACAAGCGTTGTGTTTCCTACGACTTTGAGATGCCATTCTGCCTCAGAGTCAGACTTACACAGTATATGATACAAAAGTATTTTTATTAATACTGCTGGATGTTTGCCGTCAACTGTCCATGTATTCGAGCTATCAAATGACGGCAGGTAGGAAATATTTTTTGCCCTCCGACAAAAATTGAACTTGTTGAGCAGGTTCGAAACTACCACCATCGTATGCGATGACCTGCGTTTTTACATTCAATTCAATTGACATACATTCAATTTATGCACAAAAAACTTTAGATTTGTTAAAAATGTTTATGAAAATATAACGAACAGGAATTAATTCCAGCTTAATACATTCAGTTGCACTAGGCTACAGTTTTCTTATATCTCTGATTAGTATTTCATTTACAAGATCTTCTAATTGATTACTTAAGTCATATCTTTTAACAAATCTGTTCAAAATATGTCTACACTTTGCACACAGTAAACATCACATTGCCCTTAAATTACCAAAGAGATGAAGGAGTGGTTGTGGAAAATTACATGTTTGGGCAGGCCACTAACTTCACACACCACACAATGTAGACTTGAATAAGCAAACGATGCCTAACCAAATTAGAAAAAATAGATACTTGGAATAAATAATTGGACATTTGTTTTCTTCTTGTTGACATTCTCATCTTAAAATAGTTGAGTTGAAACCAGTCTATTTGGAGCTCTTTTGAGTGATGACGAATCTTGTTCAGCAGCAATAAAGGCTAGTTCATTTTAATTTGTAGTTTGGTGTCTAACGTTTCACTACACAAATTCTATTTATAAGTTAGTTCAAGGAGAGAGAAAAAAACACAGATTCCCCCTTTTGTTCTACACCTCTTCGCTTTCCTTTGACTGGAGTTCTGGCAATTTCAACCCACCTGGTCATGATATAAAAGTAATCAGGAAAGCAAAGAACAGGAGAGGAAAAAGAAATCACAGTTGGATTAAACGTTCTCAGACACAAATGTCTTATAGTCCAATTTAAGCTGGCTCTAAGCCTAAAGAGATCTGGTCTACATTTGGCAGTAGCAGAGGTGTCAGATGTGGCATGTCTAGCCCCAGAACCGCTGTTTGGTTGGAGGAACAGGTGGTTCTGGGATGTCTGGGGCAAAGATGGAGCCTGCGGATTCAGAGAGGAAGATGAAGTAGAGGTTGGCCACCAGCATAACCAGCATTGGCAGAAACGAGAACCCAAAGCCAACACCTCTCAAACTGCTGTCACAAGCTGCTGCGACCCAGTACAGTAGTCTGTGATGCACCAAGACACAGATCAAAAATAAATACATCAAAAAGTCATTTTTTAAAAAAGTATAGTTAGTACACATTGAATATCTGGGATTCAAAATCTAATTTAAACCTATAAATAAACAAAGTTTATTATTTCAGAAAAGAAAAACACAAACAAAAACAACATAAAACAAAACATGAAAAATAAGTGAATTAATCACTAGGGTTGTAACACTATATCGTGCCACAATATATAGCAATACAAAAATGCTACAACACATATTGTGGATAGCGACAATATGCATTGTCTAGTTCACCCAAAAAATTAAAGTTCAGACATATTTAATTCAGGTTTTTATCCAGATATAATCATTGGTCAATGCACATACAAAGAGCACATTAAATACGGTAAACCTGGAAGCTCAAAGTTGTTGTTATCAAAGTTCAAAGTGTCTATATAGTTTAATAATTTTTATTTCCATTTTAGTTTTATTTATTTTGCTATTTCAGGTCCAACTAAATGAGAATGAGAAATGTTGCCTTGGCAACTAGCTAAAATATTTTAGTTCAGTTAACATAAAATGTAAGTAGACGTTACATTTTAACTATTTTTGTGTTGTTTATCGAACTGAATTGTGACAAGAGAGGGAGTTTGTACCTGCCAAAGGCAAAAACGATGGTGAGAAGAGGAATTAGTTTAAGCAGATCCTGATTCAGGTAGGCAGCCATGACAGCCAGTTGGAGGAAGTAAAGGAGAAAGAGGGAGACGGAGTCCTCCACATAGCGCTGGTGAACTGCCACCTGCTGAACTTCCCTCTCCCCTTCAAACCGCGGCTTCAAGGAGCGATACCTCAGACGGGACACACCTAGAACCAACATACCTAAGAGTGGAAAGAAAGAGCAGAACAACAGTTTCCAAACAGCTCCTTCTGATTTAATAATTCAGCAATGAATGAATACGAAGTTAAACTGTATTTATCAATGTCGAGTCATCTCAACAGAGTCAAAACAGACCCAAGGTACTGCTTACCAAGGACAATAGGTATGACTGCAAAAACAGAGCAGCGCAGCGTGTAGACCAGCCGTAGGGGGGCGCTGTCAAGCAGAGGGGCATCAAAGGGCAGGAAGACGTAGCCACCCCATACCAATAAGGGGAAGATCAGGGCAGAAGTGAACATAGACGCACCCAGTTTAAGAGCATCACGATAAGATCCACCAATGCTACCTGAGAAAGAGAAAGAGACAGACTTTTCATGCTTTTGTAAAAGTACACTACCATTTAAACGTTTGCGGTTTGTATAATCTTATGCTCAAGAAACATTTCTTATTAGCATTGTAGAAAACAGTAGTGCTGCTTAACATTTTTGTGGAAATCTTATTTGTTCATTTTTGAATATGCAATTTGCAAACCTGAAGGAAAAATACACTGCACACAAATTTGCAAAAGGTCTTATTTAAATAATTGATTTAAAATTGTTTTAATTTGGTTTGTGAGATTTTACATAAAATGATTAATGTTAGGGATGCACAGATATTAAAATTCTATACTATTGTGTGTAAATGCATTAAAAACAAAACAAATCTATTATTTAAAAAAAAGAGCTGAATTATAAAAGTGAATTTAGCTATAGCAACAATATTATAATATATAGTATGAAAATTAATATTCATTAAGTGAAGAAAAATAAAGATTAAGTGAGCGGAAGAGAACGACAAAGGTAATCTAAATGCAAAAATAGGGGAAATGAGTATACACAGTTAAATAACCAATATCATTTTTACTTTCACAGAAGCTTTTATCTACATTCCATTCAAGGTATACATTTATCAGCATTTCCTGGTACTTGATACCATGATCTTGGTGTTGGTAGAGCCATGCTCTGCTGTTTGAGCTGTAGGAATGTACAGTATATCAGCCTATACCAATAAATTCTCTAATCTCTAATATCAGTTGATAATACTGTACCAATATATTGTGTATTAAAAGTTACGAAACACGTAATGATTTAATCTGAACTTACAGCAGCGTGATTTGGATGTGGCGGGCCAGTCTTGGTAATAGTCTTCTAGCGGTGTTCCATGTGTCCCCATGAAGGGACTTCTCTCTTCTTCTCTCCAGTCGTCTGCAGCCTCCTGCTCGCTGGTGGAGCGCAGGATGGTGATGCTGGGGCTGAAGACTCGGGCTGCGTTCTCTGGCATTATGTTCACCACCTCTATCTCTGAGCAGGTGCTTTTCACTCGGTTTCTCAGCTCAGGGTCAGAAACACTCTCTTTCCCTGCTTCCATCTCCTTCAGCCCAAATTCCTCCCTCTCGCTCTCCGTCCGGCTCACTCCACATCGGAGTGAGATGCAATCTGATTTCACGCTTGTGCTCTCTTCATCCTTGACTGGCAGAATCTGTGGTTCAGGTTTATTCTCAGGCCACTGTAGGGTACTGGGTTCCATACTTGCAGATTTGATCATTTCCTCTTCTTCCTCCTCAGTGCTGTTTACATCCTTTGTTACCTTGTCCACATCCGCTACCCATTCAGGCGTTTGGAGCATCGCTGCTGGTCCAGGAGGGCCCGTGTCCATTGTCCCTGGAAAATGAAAACAGAAATTCTGGCAATGAAACAATTGGAGAAGCTGGCAACAGTCTGTCTGGGTAATTTTGTAAGAGGTTTACATTTTGTGAATGGATATCTCCTACTGGAACCAATATGTAATAAATTAGAAGGAGAATAAGTTATAAGCAGATGGCAGATGGCAGATAGCAGAGCAGGAGCTTACCCTAATTGAGACTCTAACTTCAGAATACTGTCTGAACCACACGTTTATCATATTCCCTAATATTACACAAACAAATAAAAACAATCTAGTATCACTCTGAAATGTTAATAATTAGTAAAATGGTGCTATTTTAGTCAGGATCACAGAAACCGCAGATAAACTTGACCGAAAATCCAGTTTACAATGGTAGCTGGTTTCTAGTTGGTGCTTGTAGACTATCTTGGACCGAGTAACTGGTCATACAAGCTTATGGTGGTTTTTGGAACATGGTAGCGGGTCAACCTGCAAATGAGTAGTTAAATACAAGTTTAAGCTAATTTAAATCATAAATCATGAACATAGTCAAACTAAAGTAACTATGACTTCTAAAAAACAACTTCATGATAGCTGTCATGAAAAACAGTTTGTTAAACAATATAAAAAGAACTGACTATACATACTAGCTGTCAAAAGTGTAAAAGGAAGTTGAATTCCCCAATCTATCAATCCTGTGAATATTTATTTAGCACGAAACGAAGACATTTAGCCATAACTGATGTCACTTAGCTCGATTAGCTCGCAGACGAATAACTGAAAGCGAACGAGGCCGCAAAACAACTTGGACAGAATCATAAGAGCAAGCTCAGAACAACGACAGCACTTATTCTCAAGCTGTTATTGTCTACAAGACCATCTTTATTATATTGTATTCAACGGGCCTTATTTTAATAATGAGAAGGAGATTCTAGGCCGAAAGTCATTTGATATGTCAAAAAGCTCAAACTCTCTGCGCGACACAGGTTGAAGAACATGTAACACCTCAAGTAAAAGAATAAAACTTTCCAAAGTACTAACTCACCCATATTTCCCCACAGGATGTTGTTGTGTTTTTTTTTCTGGATTGTTTTTCCTGTACTGTAGTGAAACTTCCGTAATGGAAGTTCAGGTGTGTTCAGGTGAAGTTAAAGGGACATTCTCTTAAAGGGGAGGTATGTCGCTGTCTGTCATTGGCGCGGCTGCAGCACTAAGTATGTAGCCTACAGCTTTACACACTCATCAACTCATTAAAGTCAAGTGTGAAGTGGCCTCTTGATAAATGTGACCCTGGACCACAAAACCAGTCATAATGGTCATTTTTGAGATGTATACACCATCTCAAAGCTGAATAAATAAGCTTTCCATTGATGTATGGTTTGTTAGGATAGGACAATATTTGGCCGAGATACAACTATTTGAAAATCTGGAATCTGAGGGTGCAAAAAAAATCGAAATAGAGAAAATCGCCTTTAAAGTCGTACAGATGAAGTTCTTAGCAATGCATATTACTAATCAAAGTAAGTTTTGACATATTTACAGTAGGAAATTTACAAAATATCTTTATGGAACATGATCTTTACTTAAAGTCTTAATGATTTTTGGCATAAAACAAAAATCGACCCATACAATGTATTTTTGGCTGTTACTACAAATATATCCAAGCGACTTAAGACTGTTTTTGTGGTCCAGGATCACAAATGTGTACGCGCCGATTTATGTTTCTGCGGGTGGGTGCTCACCCTCCATAAAAACTGTTTGGGGGAAAAAAATGCCCCTGCACAATTAAAGTAAATCTATAATAAAATGAAAATGAAATGAATAATGCTTGTTAACCCTAGCCCCTAACTTCAAGTGTTTCCCTGAGGTGAACTGGCAGCTTCGCCCCTAATTTTCCACGTGTCCAAGGTGTGCAATTCGCAGAGTGCACTCTTGGTCCAGCTAGTTGCCCCACCCAGAGTGCTGTGCCAGGGCTTCTCTGCTTCCATAAGTTACAGGTTTCCTGGTTGCAGACTGTAGCAGTTTCACACACTAGTGTGTTTGTGTGTGTGTGTGTGTGTGTGTGTTAGTGTAAATGGCATTACAAATGTAAGGATTCACATTGAAAATAACAACTTTTTCTGACAACTATACTTACAACCATACTTATAACCAGGGGTGCCGGACAGAGGGTAATAGTGGAACTGAGTAACAGGGGCCCATGGCAAGGGGAAGGCCCGTTCCCCCTACCACCACCCCCCACCAATGAACGTGATTTTGCGATCACGGCCCAGTAAATGGCCCAGAATTCCTAGCGACGGCCCTGCTTGTAACTATATCTTAGCTTTAACTAACTCAAGTGTTTTGTCGTTGTTGTTGTTTTGCTTTCATTTAAAATCTTACTGGTTGGCGAGTCTTCTGTCATCTCTTGTGATCTCTTTTTTCTGGAGATAATGCCATGGCTTGATTTAAAATTTGAGAAAAAATCAAGAAAAAATTCTTGATTTAAGATTAATTAAAAATCTTACTTGTTGGTGACTCTTCTGTCAGCTGTTGTGGTCTCTTCTTTATGAAGATAATGACATGCCTGCAGAAATCTTGACTGGATATTGTAAAGAAGGGATTTCATGTTTTCCACTTACACGACTGTTGTTGCTTGCGTCACATCGAGCTGCAACATCTGGAGGCTGTAGCACTGAATGTGACAAAGGAAATGTTGTAAATCATTTGTCCTTTGTGTCAGTATGTTACTTGCATCATGCCACAATCATTATAGACAGAATCACTGTTTATAACCACTGTCTTTTGTAGTGGTGCTCGTGTCTGTTGAAGTCCTTGTGTCCTTGTACTTCTTAACTGACTCTGTGTGAATCTGTGCGGCCAGGAATTCTAAATTCCATATTGTCATATTGGTTGAAGGCTGATTGGTTGTGAATGTCTGTAAGAGTGATTAATTTTAATGGCAGTGTTTATATGTGGGATATTATGCTCTTGGCACCTGGTTTTCATACAATACAAATGTTTTCTAATAAAATTAGTGCTGCTCTTCTCAAGAACCTTCAGAATTATGGCTTATTGAAAGACATACTGTACTGTACACTTTACACATTGTTCTTCTATTACAACATTGTTTTACAGTGGGTTATTTCTTGTGTAAAAGTATTGTTATAACATTTTAAAAATGTATTTTCAAATCAAGAAAAATTCAGTTTAGCATCTTCACTCTCTAAATTTTTGAGCTCAGTCTAAAAAAATATAATCCCGAAGCACAGATATACGTTGTACTGTCAGAATGTTTCAATAGAAACACAATGGATGGAAAATAAGTCTAAGACCCAGTGAACAATCAAATCTTTAATGTCTGGAGCAAGATAAAGTTGCTCTCTACAGAATCAAAAGGTTGAGTGATACTCTTTAGGATGTCAACATTTTCAAATAAAAAGGAAGTACTGATAGCTGTGTATTTTGTGTTTTAAGCTCTGGGGCAACTATAGAACAAAGACAGTTGAGCAGTGGACATCCACTTGTATTTAGGGACACACTCCTCTCAGTCTTCATGGGTCTTTGGGTCAGAAAATTGCAGTCTGTTTATCAAGGTTTGTATAATGTTGATCAGATGACCAGCTGTACCACATTACTAATAATTAAATAAATGAAAACTGTTATTTTTATTGCCTGAACTGTTTCTTAGTCCTGATTTTGAGAAAAGAAGAACACAAATATTTTCCAATAAATTGGGCACAAGACCAGCAATAAATAGATAGATTTAGATTTCATGTTGACTTTGTATTTTAAATCTATCTTGCTAGCTGAGAGCAAACTAAAACTTATTTTAAGATCTTAGTAAAAAGATTTTGTGTTATCAGTCTGTATGCAGAAAACTGGTGAAAATATAAGTAAATGGTAACAAACATTCACTACACTTCAAAAGTTTGTGGTCTGTAAGATTGCTTAATGCATTTGAAAGTTTATTCAAATTGATTTAAATTGTAAAAAAGTTCATCAGTAGAATTATGAATGATATATAATTACAGTTGAAAATAATTGAAAAAAATAACCTTTTTATATTATAACAGATTTTAAAATGTAATTAATTTCTGTGACGGCAAAGCTGAATTTTCACTCCGATCAACAGCATGGGCACTCTTTGGTGCCCCTGGAGACTGACATCTAGAGTGTCCACGTCAAGTAGGAAAACATTTTACAAATTCAAGCTCTAATTTTTTGTGTACTCTGATAAATTGTATAACTTGTATATCTGTTCTAAGATCTGAATGTGCATGCTGCAAAATATAACAAATATATGAACTGTTAAAGCTATAATAACCATTTATTTCGAGATAAGATGTAAATGTGAACACAATATATCTAACCATGAAACTAACCATATTTACTAAATATTCCAAATTGATAGTTTGCATGTTCACTGATATCAGACCATGGCTAGAAAGACATTTGTCTTACCAGAGAAGATGTTTGTGTGGTTCCCCCCATACGTGGCCCACCTGGGCAATTGCTTAATTGCTCATATGGTTAATCTGTATGATGGTTAAACTCTTGTGGAAAGTTCAACACAATTACTGAAAATATTTTGCTCACCTGTGATGAAATGATCTTAGGGTGGTTTGCTGGTCTTAGCAGGTTTAAGTTGGTTTAACTGGTTGACTAGCTGAAAAGTGCACCCAAACCCCTTCAAAAACCATGAAAACAGACCAGCCTAACCAGCCTTAAACTGGTTTAAGCCGGTGTTTTCGGAAGATAGTTTTATAAAGTGTTCTTGTAAAGCTATATTGATTTCCAGTAAAAAGTCCATCTAGAGAATCAAAGATGGAAGGTAATGGAGATTTACATTTCTAGACATGATTTCTTTGAAAATAAATTTTTACAGGTTATCATTCATGATGAAAGGAAGTTGAGGAAAATTGGCAATCTTTTGGCATGTGCCGAAGACATAAATGTAAATATAAGTTATGATATTTCAAAAACAAATGATGCTGAACAATATAGCACAAGATTGATTTAGTTCTGCACCGTTATAACCTGGCAATGAGTATGTAATGTCAATGAAAGTTGTGACCGTAAATAGCACAACATATAGTTTGATGACGTAGTGCTCCCCCTTCTCTACATTAAATGTCTCATTACCTTTCCCTCTACAATAGGCCTGATTCATTTTGCACTACAGTATGTTGTTCTGAGCTCAAAGAGCCCCTGTGGGATGTGGCGCTGTAAAATGGAGCCGTCACTGCTTTCTTGAGGTTTAGTGAAAGCACATCTGTACACGGTGGCATGAGAACATGAAGACAGATGACTTTGAGATGTTTTCTTGCTGCACACTCCCTCCTGTGAAGGCTGCTGACAGCATGTGTGCCTGCTATTAGCATAATGCTAATGAAGGGGTTAAGGCTGTTTGCATGCTGTACTGGAGGGTCGATCTGATGTCTTTCTCAGCAGGAGATGTTTTTTGACCAAAACGAGTCAGAGTGAAGGGATGAGTGTCCCCTGCCATCTGATCAGGACTTTGAATTGGATCTTGATGTTATATTTGTAGTCTGTTGAATTGTGTAACTAGATTTCATGAAAACATTTTGAATTACATCAATCAATAATTTGCAAAGACCTTTCTTATGTACCAGGGTTGTGCAAAATTCTAAACTGTAGAATTTCAATTCACACTGAATTCATGAGTGTGATTTGAATTGGAATTTGAAGTTGAATTGGAATGACAGAATTTTAGCTCAGAAATCCAACATGGGAAACACCTTCTGGAAAATCCATCCTGGTCCACAAAAGGTAATTATAAAATATGAAGCAATATATAAACGGAATACCAATTTCTATAGGTGGCATTTCAAATCTATATATTTGTAAAGTCTTTCAATTTAGATTTTTAAAACTACTAATACAACTATGTAAGAGGTTTTGCTATTCTAGTTGAAATATTAGTCAAAGATAACAAGTTCGTTTGCCCATATAATCTTTAGGAAATTATGTTTAACTTATTTGGCTTGCTGTCCACTGATGAGGGGCACGATTTAGCAGCTTCAACTTGAGCTCTGATATACCCCCCACAGAGACTTAATGTAGGATATGATTACAAAGGGCAAGGTACCTAAGATGAAGGTGGAGATTGGGGAGGTGGAGGGATGCTGGAACAGCTGAGACTGGAGAGAAGTAAGCAGCTGCTTATATACT